CTGTGGCTCAAGTGGTAGAGCCCAGAGTTCAGGCCCCACGACCGGACCCAAAAAAAAAAAAGATGATTGGACTGCTTCCCTCATTCAGGGCTAAGTATGGTGATGCTTGCTTATGAGGCTCACTCAGGAGGCTAAGACAGGAGGCTAAGACAGGAAGATTGAGAGTTGAAGCCAGCTTAGGTTACATAGTGAGTGAGACCTTCTCTCAAAAAAAAAAAAAAAAAAGGTGCTGGGTGCTGGTGGCTCATGCCTGTAATCCTGGCTATGCAGGAGGCTGAGATCTGAGGATCGAGGTTCAAAGCCAGCAATGGCAGAAAGTCACTGTGAGACTTTTTTTGGAGGGAGAAGGGGCTGGGAGTTGCTCATAGGGCTTGAACTCTGGGCCTGAACACTGTTCCCTCAGCTCTTCAGCTCAAGGCTATTGCTCTACCACTTGAGTCACAGTGCACTTCCAGTTTTCTGAGTTGTCTAATTGGACATAAAAGTCTCCCAGACTTTTCCTGCTAGGGTTACAGGCTTGAGCCACCAGTACTTGGCTTCCCTGTGAAATTCTTATCTCCAGTTAACCACCAGAAACCTGGATGTGGCGCTGTGGCTCAAGTGGTAGACAGTTAGCCTTGAGCTGAAGAGTTGAGGGACAGCGCATAGGCGTAGAGTTCAATCCCCATGACCAACCCCCAACCCACCAAGAAAAAAATCAAAGGCTGAAGAATAACATGGAATAAATTTGATCAAAGTACATTATATGCATGAATGGAAATATCACAATAAAACTTTTATACAGCTAATATTCTCTAATTTTAAAAGAAATTGAAAGAAAAAAAAAGGACTAGGAATAAAAATTAGTGGTAAAGTATTGCCTAGCATACACAAGACCCTGGCTTAGAATCCCAGCACTGCTAAAGAACAGCCAAAAGAAACATCAGGCAAAAATCACAATACAGAATCAACCTAGGAGGCAAATTTTTATGGAGACCATGACCTTAAATGATTTCTCACAGACTTAAATAGTAGCAAGGCGAGAAAATATTAACATTTTGACTAGAAACAAAAGCTAATATCACTACAGAGAAAAAAGTGGACATTTCATGCTTGCTTTGATTCTTTGAAGAGTACATGCACTTCTTAGGTAATTTAAGTCTAGGAATGTATAACCACAGTGAAAAATAAAATGAATCCCAAATAAGCATCTCTACCCCCCTTGCTCTTTGTCTCTCTATCTCAGTCTCTGTCTCTCTTTCTCTCATTAGACTCAAAGCCTAGTTCCAATTTTCTTTTATTTAACATTTTAAGTCATAAATGATAAAGAAAGGCTATTGAAATGTTTCTAAAGGAGGTTCATGAGCTAAATGTATTTCACTGGTAGTGCACTTACATACCCTATGTATAAGGCCATGAGTTAGATCTCTAGCACTGTAAAACATAGAAAGCTAAAGTGACTTAAAATTAAAAACGACAAACAATTAGACAAGATCCTACATAGATGGAAAAATAAATATCATAAAGGACATTATAGAGTCATTTGAAAACTGGGAACTATATGACAGATCAAATAAAAGTATTATATATCATTAAATTTGCTTGTTTATAACTGGACTGTAGTTATAGTGCTATTTTTATGAAGCAGGTAATATGCCATGCAAAGTCAAGTTTCTTTAAAATGGTTCACTTCCCAAAAAAAGTATGTGTAGAGTTGGGCATGGTATTATACACCTGTAATCCTAGCACCTGGGAGATTGAGGCAGGAGAATTTCAATTTTGAGGCCAATTTGACTGTATATACATTTGAAGAAAATCATTCAGCCGCTGGTGGCTTACCCCTGTAATCCTAGCTATTCTGGAGGCTGAGATTTGAGGATTACAGTTCAAAACCAGCCTAAGCAGGAAAGTCCCAAGAGATCCTTATCTCCAATTAATCATCAGAAAACCATGGCTCAAAGTGGAAGAGTGCCTTGAACACAAGTGCCCAGGCCCTAATTTCAAACTCCATGACCTACAAAAGAAAGGAAGGAAGAGAGAGAGAAAGAAAAAGAAGGAAGGAAAGAAAGATGAAGGAAGGAAGGAAATCATTCATTAAATAACTGTCTTGTACAGTTTTAGGGGCTGAAAAATGTAGAGTCCTATATTCCCCACCATAGTCATGATATGAAACAGTTCGATTAGCTCAAAAAATGTCCTCAAAAATACTGACACGTTAAAAGTGTTAAAAATTTACAGGTTAAAGACTCTGTTTCTGAGAAAACAATTGGACTAATGCGAATGCAGTTCTGGAAAAAAGCTGTTGAAGACATATACTGTGACAAACCACCACATCAGCCAGTAGCCATTGAACTATGGAAGGTAAAATAAATGTACATGCATTATCCTTTTTTTTTTTTTTTTGGTCGGTTGTGGGGCTTGAACTCTGGGCCTAGGCGCTGTCCCTCACCTCTTTGGCTCAAGGCTAGCCCTCTATCTCTTAAGCCACAGCACCACTTCTGGCTTTTTCTGCTTATGTGGTGCTGAGGAATCGAACCTAGGGCCTCATTCATGCAAGGCAAGCACTCTACCACTGAGCCACCATTATACTTTAATTTCTGCTTTTTGATCAGTAAAATTTAGATAATTACAATAATGCTGAAATTTATTCTGAAAATATTGTTAGGCTCATGTAACATTCAGATAAAGATATGTTACTTTTGGCTAAGCAATTTAAAATCATCCTCTGATAATTTGCATGGTTCTTTGATGTGTTTTTAAAGGACAAAATTGGAATCTAACTTCCTGTTTTGTTTTTATGTAGGTACTAGGGCTTGAATTAAGGGCCTTCTGTTTTCAGCTTTTTCATTCATAGTTAGTACCCTGCCATTTGAACCACACCTCCAGTCTGGCATTTTTTGCTGGATAATTAGAGAGTCTCACAGACTTTACTGCCTGAAACTTAGTAGGAACAACAATCCTCAGATCTTAACCTCCTGAGTAGCTAGAATTATATAAGGCCCCAGCCAATCTCTTTATATACAAGTTACTTCATTGCAGGATGTAAATCCTACCAATTGTGATGCAGTAGAATATGCATTTTCTTTCTAACCTTCCAACTACTCCTTATATCAGTGTTTGATTCCAGACTAGGCTGTACAAGAATTTTTTTGTGTGTGTGAAGGGAAACTTTCTATTTATCATGTTTCATATACATACTTAAAACTACCTTGTCTAGAAGAATTGCCTATCAGTTGGGAATTTTAGACATTAGTAAATAAAAAGAAACCTTTGGGCTAAAGTATTCTTCATATAGTTTGATTCTTTTAAATTTTATTGTTATTGCTAAGGTGATATACAGAGGTAGCTTGATTTTTATATTAAGCAGTTTTATATTGAAGTAGATACAGCTCTCCCTCATTCATAAACAGATATGCATGGTTTAGAAATATGCTAAACTATGAGAGAATTAGATATCTTTTCACTGACCTATGTCCCCATTATAATAACTACCAAAAGAGGGTTTTCAGTGACAACCACAGATGGGCCCGACAGTTGTATACCTCTTCAGGTGTGTATCAAGCCAGATTTCTGGGAAGAGTGACGTCACAGAGTCCCAGTAAAGATTGAAAGCCAGGACCCCTATACCAAGGGCTGAGAAGAAAAAGTCAATGGGGATGGGAAGCTGTTAGCCCCTCTTCAGTAAGCTCAAGACAAATGATACAGCATAGAGAAAAGTTTCTCCCCTCCCCCCATTTTTTGTCTACTGTACAATCACTCTATTATGAACTATACCCTTAGCCCTGAGGGAAATTTCTCTAAAGTTCAGATTCAACCTTTACTATTATTTAATTTTATTTTGTCAGTCGTGGGACTTGAACTCTGGGCTTAGGCGCTGTCCTTGCGCTCTTCAGCTCAAGGCAAGTGCTCTACAGCTTGAGCCACAGCGCCACTTCTGGTTTTCAAGTGGGTTTTTTGTTTTTTGTTTTGTTTTTTATTAGAGATAAGAATCTCATAGACTTTTCTGCCTGGGCTGACTTTGAACCATGATCCTCAGATCTTAGCTTCCTGAGTAGCTAGGATTACAGGCGTGAGCCATCGGCACTTGACCTATTTATTATCTTTTACACAAATTTGTCAGCAGTTGAGGCTTATGTTAAGACTTGTATCAAAAGTTCTGAGCTTTGTTTAGAAATACAGTGATAGAACAAAGATTACCTTAGTGCAAGTTTTTTTTCCCCATTAGCTTCTCTTTAAAACGAAATAAAAACGGAAGATAAATCTGAATTACGGGATGTTTACATATGTGTCAATTTAGGATTGTCCATTTGTTTTTTTGTTTGTTTTCAGTTTAGAGATAGGAACCATTCTCTTGGTTATGATAGCTAAATGCTCTACAACTGAGCTACCTTTCTAGCCCTAAGTACTTACATTTTAATGTTAGTTTTGTAGTTATGACTGATATTTAGTGTTTGTGAATATTTAAAAGAAATAGATAATGCTGGGTGCTGGTGGCTCATGCCTATAATGGTAGCTACTCAGAGATCTGAGGATTGCATTTCAAAGCCAGCTGGGACGGGAAAGTCCATAGACTCTTATCCCCAATAAACTATTTAGAAAATGCTGAAAGTAGCACTGTGGCTCAAGTGGTGGAGCGCTAGCCTTGAGCAAAAGAAGCTTAGGGATAGTGCCCAGGCCCTGAGTTCAAGCCCTAGGACTGGCAAAAAAAAAAAAATAATAACAACAACAGCAAAAAAAAACAAACAAGAAGAAGGTAGTGTCCAGTAGTTATTTTCATGGCATATTCTGTCCCTGATCAGCTGACACGTATGCTCATTGTGATTCAAGTAAAACTTTCCATTGGCTCCTTGAAGAGTACTGGTTTCTTTTTAGGAAGGGAAACAGTGCCTCTGTGTTGTGGAGAGAGATTTTGCTATACAGTTTCATTGGTATTTTCAGGATCGAAAATAGTTGCATTTTTAAAATTTCTTACACATCCCATATAGTATTCTCTATTTCTCTGTGTGACTTGTGTTGTGACTTGTGTTTATGTTTATAGCAGAGATTTTTACTCTACTTGGCTTCATTTGCCAAAGTTGATACTTTATTCAACTTCTTTTGAATATTTATTCTTTTACTTTGGTCTTTAAGTTCCTTCAGAATTGGACATTTACGTTTTGTGGTTATTTGTAATGGCTTTCGCTTTGAGTAAATATGCGTTTCACTTTTCATTGATAAAATATTTACTGAAGC